CYKKTYMAWTKRAAARKKGGRWCYKSMAAGRRGKSWTYWRGRRKTYYCMMTKRWTTTTWTTTTTTTCTCCCCCTTTTTTTTCTCTTCTCCAGATTGTACATTTGCTTTCCCTGGAGATGGTGAAATTATGATGATGTTAGTGACGGTGTTGTCATGAAATTAAAATATAATCTGGGATGTAGAGCAGAACTTTTGGAGCAGGAAGATGTATCTGCTCCTTTTTTAAAAAATTTGATTTTGAATTCCTGTTTTGACTAATGGCCCAATGGTCTAAAATCCTCTCAAAAGAAGAATGTGAACAGAATCCTTCAGGGAGCTTCAGATTCTTCCTTTTGAGAGGACCTAATATTAATATTTTATTTCGATACTGGCATTTTCAAACTTTCCACCTGAAGCTGGTGGTGAAACTCCTTCCACCTCCAGCAGCAATGGTTGGGTGGATGCCAAGCTCTGCCTCACCATGGAATATTTCACTTTTTACACCCAAAAWCCCCCACGAAGCTCTGAACAAAACAACCTCTCCAGAACTGGGTTTGACRATTCTTTTAAATTCCCATCCCGAGATGGATGTTAGAATTCACGGGAACAAACTGTTCTGCTCTCCCTCCAATTATTCTTCCTTGGGAGAAGGGGGGAAAAAAACTGAAGCGTCCAGGGACCGGAATGAATTATTTGAATGTGGTTTTTTTGATGTTTTCCCGTGTTTTATGAAGACTGCTCTCTGCATCTTGGTCTCTACAGCTCGCGGTGCCTGGAGGCATGTCTGATTTAAAGGTGGTGTTGGTCTGTGCTCTTTAAGCATCTATTAACTCGCTATTATTATGCAAATAACTGTTGTAATACACACGCTAATTTATGCATGGTTAGATTATGCAGATGCCTCACAAACATGGTTATTGAATAATAGGCTGGCACTCATTCCCTCTCCCATTTTTAGAAGCTGTTTTAAGCGAATTCTCCTGACACTTTTAGGGACTTGGGGATGTTTTGCCTGTGYGGAAATGCTCCGKTTTTTTCCACTTTTTTTTTGTCTCCWCTGCTAAAATGTTCGCTGACACCATGAACGGAATAGACTCGGTGTATTTTATCTGGATTTCATAAATGCATTTTATAAATGATACGAAAAAWTTTATAAATGTATTTTTGGAGGGGAGGATTGGCAAAGGAACTCAGATTTGAAGAGCCCTCCATGCGCAGGGAACTCACTGAGGGTCTCGACATTTTTGTGTTTTATAACCCAAAATCCAAGTGACAGGGATTTAAATTTAAAATAACCCCAGTGGAAGCATCAGGGCAAGGGCAGGAAGTTGGAGTGTGGACATGCCAGGCAAAAATTCCTCCCTGGACCGGGAGCAAACCACGATTGCTAAGTTTAAGATGCTTTTGCTGTTCTAATTAACCAGTGGATCGGATTGGTAAAAGAATATTTGGCGAGTCAGTAGTCCATGAAATTGTATATATTTTTTAATGCAAAACAGTTGAGGAGGTGAAACTTTAAAATGTGGCTGTTAAGCTTTYCAAGCAGCTGCTTTTCAGCAGGGTTTTTATGGGGAGAATATGTATTTTAAGCATGTGCTCACAGAGCTKGGCAGGAGAACCCTTAGAAATTAGAATTATCCACCTTTGGTTCAGGGGATAATTAATAGGGGATTTTCATGGCCAAATATCTCTTTATTTTCTGAGGAGGGGCCTGATTCTGTTCATTCCTTGAGTGACTCCTCCTGACTCCAGCGGGGTGATTCAAGGAGTGAAGTTAATCCTGGRTGGTTCCAAATTTGTCCCGAAATAACCCTGAGTTGCTTCCCCCTGAAAATGGAGAGTGTGATCACGTGGGCGAGAGCACCTGAAATTTCCTGCAAATGGATATTTGTCTCCAGCTGCAGCTGCAAAAAATATTTAATTTTTTACCCCTTTTCCTCTGTTTTTAAGACACAGATAAATGGTGTGTGTAAATTTGGTTTAAATGAAGAAGATTTATAGGGGGAATCATTGCAGTGTGGAAATTCAGGACCTACTGCGATATGCCAGGAAAACTAAAGGATGATTATTTCATTTTCTGGCCTTTGGTAGAATATTTAAATGGCAGAACTTCCCACTTCCCGTTTCCAGAGCTTTCCTAAGTATTTCTTTTATGAKTATTTCCTTTGCTGGCTCTTATTCATCATTATTCAATCTTTACAATTAAGTTTTAAATTGAGAACGCTTAAATGTGAGCGACTGCTCGTGTCGGTGGAGTTGCTTGTCAGAGTTAATATAAAATTATTAACTATAATTGTGTTTTTTGGTCTCAATGTACAGAATGTAATCTTCATAATCAGTGTCTGAATGCAAAAAAGGGAGCAATCTGAGCCAGGAAATGACAAATAGTGGTGCTCAGAACTGACTTTTCTGCTCTGAAAACTTCTAAGCCCAAAAATTGAGTAAATATCTGAGTTTTGGGTGGGTTCCATTGTTTTGTTGTTGGTTTTCCTGTTGTGGTCACGGAATGTGGTTTTGTAAAATGGGAAAGGCCCTTTGGAAGCAGGAGGGAATGACGCTTGTAGGATTTTCTGTAGGTACTGACAGAAGTGTTTAAGGGCAGGTTTACCCCGGATTTATTCGCATGACTTTGTTAATTAATAATACTCTCAAAAAAAAAAAGTTATTTTCTACATAAACAATAAAAAAAAAGGAAACCCCTTTTCCAAGGGTGCTGGTCCAAAATCCCAACCATCTTTTTAGGGATCCGAACAAGRCGTGCAGGGAAAATAAGTTTTCTTTGAGAAGTTTATCCTTAATTTCTACAATTTCTGAACAGCAAAGAAAAAGAGATGCCCCAAAAGGTACCCATGGCACCTCGAACATTTAATTAAATTTGAGGCTGGAACCCCAAAGATCCGAGCAAACMGTGCAGGGAATCCCAGAGATCCAAATTCCACGTCTCGGATAAAACCACGGTGGGGGCGATGCCTTGTTTAATGATAATGCAATTTAGGAGAAATGAAAAGAATTGCCCACTAAATATTCTCGGCTTGCAGTCCAACTTTACACAAAGCAGGGAGTTAAAAGGACGGCGCATCCATTAGGGAAATATTCCAAAGGAATATTCCAAAGCACTCAGCTGCCGAGGATTTAATCAGCTGGAGGAGGACACGGCTGTGTTTAAGAGACTTTTGCATTTAGAGAAATGCAATCCCAGGCTCCACTTCATAAATTCGATGAAAATGACCTGAATTTTTTCTTTTTTTTTTTTTAAAAAAGGAAAAGCCCCGAAAAGATTCCCATCCCTCATTCCGCCCCCTTCCATCCAGAGCTCCCCCTTCCCATCCCACCGCTCCCCCCCAAATCTGAGCAAATACTGCCCCCGGTATTGTAAAGCTTTGAATGTTTTCACACCCCATTAATTTATTACTTCTCTTGCCTCATCTTTAAATTTTTTTTCCCCTT